GCCAGGTGGGTACAGGGCAGCTGCATGATCAGCCCTTTCTCCCACCCTCTCTTCCTCCTCCTTCCCCCCACCCAGCAGGACTGGAGAACTGGGTCTGGGCTGAGGACATGGTCTTTGTCCCCATGGCGGTACCCTGGAGCCCTGAGCACCAGATGCAGAGGCTGCAGGTGACCCGGAAGCTGCTAGAGACTGAGGAGCAGGCCGCCTTCCCCCTGGGAAGTGCCTCCCCTCGCTACCTGTACCTGGCCAGCAACCAGAGCAACAAGTGGGGTCACCCACGGGGCTACCGCATCCAGACTCTCAGTTTTGCTGGCGAGCCGCTGCCGCAGAACAGCTCCATGGAGAGAGCCTTCAGCTGGGGGAGGTGAGTGGTGGGCTGTCAGAGAGGCTGGGGTGATGGACTGTAAGAAGGGCCTCATGTTGCTGGGGACCCAGGTTCTCCCACCTCCTGTGGGTGTACATGCACACACGCACAGTCCTGTGGCCACAATCTTTAGCTATTTAAAATGAGGCCTACTGAATGGATGGATGGATGAATGGCGAGATGCATGCAGGATCAAATACAATAAAATGTGAAAGGTAGAATCTGGGTTGTGGACATACGTATGTTCACTATACTATTCTTTCAACTTTAAATGTTCATAATAAGGGTTGCTGGGGGGCGGGGGGAATAAGAGAAGAACACAGATCTGAGGGAGTATTCCCTAAAATCCAGGCATTTGAGATACTGAAATTGGCCTAAAATGGGAATCATGATGTGTCCATGCACCCAGGGCCCAGGCTCTGGTCTAGATGGATGTCCAAATGATATTAGGACCTCAAGTCTGAACAATGGTCAGCTGATGTTTGAGATATCAGCAGGATGCTGAACAAATGTGGGAACTCTACGAGAGAGACAGAGGGAGAGTGGGAAGTGAACAGAGAACAACGAAGAGGCTCACTACCCCAAGACCTCTGTGCTTATGTTTCCTTTCTGTTCCCTCTTCAGTGCAGCTTCACATAGTAGGACGGGTTGAGGACCTTGTGGGTCTAATCCAAATCTCCTGTAGGTACCAGCTGGCCGTGACCCAGCGGAAGGAGGAGGAGCCCAGCAGTACCAGCATCTACAATTTGAACGACCCTTGGACACCCACCGTGGATTTCACTGACTTCATCAACAATGAGACGGTTGCAGGGCAGGTCAGTTTGGGGAGGTGGCAGAAGCAAGGACGAGATACTTCACTCTCTCCCAAGCCAGGGCCCTCTTCAGAACCCACCAAGAAATGAAGCATTACGATCTCACATTTTCCCTGGGTTTGTAAGCCTAATCGTTCCATACCAGGCTACGGTGCGAGGCAGGTGTGTCTTTAGCAGTCAGGCCTCATGATCCTCTTCCTTCTCCCCTGCCAGGATTTGGTGGCCTGGGTGACTGCTGGTTTCCTGCACATCCCACATGCAGAGGACATTCCCAACACAGTGACTGTGGGGAATGGTGTGGGCTTCTTCCTCCGACCCTACAACTTCTTTGACCAGGACCCCACCTCCGATTCTCCTGACTCCATCTATTTCCGGGAGGACCAGGATGCTGGGGCCTGTGAGGTCAACCCCCTGGCTTGCCTCCCCAAGGCTGCTAACTGTGCCCCTGAGCTCCCTGCCTTCTCTCATGGGGGCTTTTCTCACAACTAGGTGGTCCCTGGGATGGGGAATGTGTCCAGGGTCCCCAGGGCCAGGGTGTGTGGGGTGGGAAGAGCAGTGGGCACTGGGCCAGGAAGCCTGGTCTCACACTAAGATCCTCTCCTGCCCCGCCCCCAAGATCCTTGCTCCCATCGCCCTTCTTTGTATCCTCCTCCTTACTGGAAGCATCCTGAGCCTGTGAAGCCTGACACAGCAGGGACTGAGCTTTGTTGACCCTGGATGTGCTGGGTTTCTGTCCCAGAGGGGAGAGGAATGGCCAGCAGGAGCTGGAGTGAGGGCAAGCTTTTCTCCAGAAGACTTATTTTTTTCTAACAGTTTTTAATCTTACGCTTTTACAATGAGATATAATTCACATACCATAAGATTCACCCTTTAACGTGTCTAGCACTGGCCGGTTTGGTTCAGCAGTTGGAGCATTGGCCTGCGGTCCAGAGAGACCCGGGTTCAGTTCCTGCTAAGGGTGCATACTTTGGTTGCAGTTTGTTCCTGGCCCTGGTTGGTCGTGTGGGTGGCAGCCACTCGATGTGTCCCTTTCACGTCGATGTTTCTCTCTCTCTCTCTTCCTCTCTCTCCCTCCCACTCTACCTGAACAAAAAATGGAAGAATGTCCTCGGGTGAGGATAAAAAAACAAACAAAAGAAAACATGTCTAATTTAGTGGAGTTTAGTGTATTCACAAAGTTGTGCAACCATTGCCACTCATTCCAGAACATTTCTATCACCCGAGACAGAACCCCCGTACCTGTTAGCCGTCAATTCCTGTTTCCCTTCAACCCTTCCCAGCTCTAGGCAACCACTAAGCTTTCTGTCACTATAGATTTACCTATATTCTGGACATTTACTATAAATAGATATGTACAACTTGTGGTCTTTTGTGATTGGCTTCTTTTGGCACAATGTTTTTGAAGTACATCTATTTTGTAGCATAAAACAGGACTTCATTCCTTTAGGGCCGAATAATATTCCGTTGTGTGACTGTTACCACATTTTGTTGATCCATTCATCGATTGAAGGACATTCGGTTATTATAGATAATGCTGCTGTGAACATCGTGCACGAGTTTGCATATGGACGTATATTTTCACTTCTCTGGGTGTAAACCTGGGAGTAGAATTGCTGGGTCATATGTTTAACCTTTATAGGAACCACCAAACCAGTTTCCAAAGTGACTGTACCATTGTTTTCCTTTTTTCTTTATATAGTGGTAAAACGTCCATAACATAAAATTTATCATTGGACCATTTTCACATGTACGGGTCTGTGGCATTAAGTACGCTCAGAAACTTTGTTGGGTCTGCTCAGCTCCTCCTCTGCCCTGGATCTTGAATATGAAGGTGAGACCTCTAGAAACCAAGTCTGTTCTTAAGCCCTGGGATAGGGTCCCTTCATGGCCCATGGCCCAGCTCTTCTCTGTCTTCATTCCCTGTCATCCTAACACATTCTTTCTCTGCTCTTTCTTTCTCCTCTTCCTCTTACAACTTCAGCTTCTACCCCCTGGCCTTCCCTCTGAGATCCTGGATGTCCCTGCTGCTTCAGGTCCTGTAATTTTCCTTCGTCCCTCCATTCCAGACAGCCCCTGGTTGTCTCCTTGTGGGAGACATTTGTCTCTGGACAACCTTCTTCATCTTGTCTCTCTGCCTCTAAGCAAAAATGTTCCTGTCATCTTGCCAAATAATCTTCTTCCGATTCCTGCCATTTACATAGAGCACGTGGAGTATGCTTTGAGGAGGGGTAGGATGGTCAAGTGACAGCAGCAGTCAAGGAGTTTTGTGGATGCTCAGGATCACCTGTTCCCAGGGTCATGGGTGACAGTGCCCTCCATTACTGTACAGTCAGCATAGATGACCAGACTGTCACTGAGTGTAGGAACCAAAAAGCCTTGGGAACTCAGGCAACCAGGCCAGGAGCTTCCTGGTCAGGGATGGGCAAGCAGATGAGCCGGGAGCGTCCCAGGAGGTACCAGCCTGGCCCGGTCAGGCAACAGGCTCCAGGACATCACATTCCTGCTGCTCCTCCTTGGGTGTGGACTTCGGATGGGCATCAATAAGAACTGGGGTATTTTCTAGAAAGAAATGTGGAGGCAGGAATAAGAAGGTAGGGCTCAAAGAGCAAACTTTCTCAAGTGCCTCCAGGCCACAGAAACCCATGTGGTGTGTGGTGTCCACAGCCCTGCTTCTACAGCTTGTCCACTTCCCTTGGTGTCTTCTCTAAAAGGGTAGGCTATGCCCTGGCCAGTTTGGTCAGCCTGCAGACCAGAGAGTCCTGGGTTCGGTTCCTGCTAGGGGTACGTACCAAAATATAATAATAAAAATAAATAAATACATAAATAAAAGGGTAGGCCATGAGGTCAGGAAGAGAGAGGCTCTTTCCCCAGTTGGAAACTCAGGCCACTGACCCAGCTGTAGGGAGGGCACTGACTGGGCAGACCTTGGCAAGAAGGAATTCAGGGCACAGAATCTTGGGTCCAACTCAGCTTGTTACCAGAGGGCAATGGCAAATTGGGAGCTCAGACACCATGGAAGTCCTGTGGGTCCCTCAAGAGCTGCCTGGACCCCAGGCTCAACCAGGTGAGCTGGAAAGGAACTGAACTCTGGCAAATGGACTTTCATACAAAGACTAAACACTGTGGAAGCCACATTCTTTTTTTTTTTTTTTTTTAATTTTTCTTTATTGATTATAGAGAGAGAGGAAGAGAAAGGGAGAGAGTTAGCGACATTGATGAGAGAGAACATCAATTGGCCTCTTCCTGCATGCCCCCCACTGGGGACCGGGCCCACAACCTGGGCTTGAACCCTAAGCGGGAGTCGAACTGGTGACCTCTTGGTGCATGGGTTGATGTTCAACCACTGAGCCCCACCAGTCAGGCGGAGCCACATTCTTGAATAATATCCTGTTATTATTATTATTATTATTACAGGATATAGTGACAAGTGCTCAGGTGGGAAAGGGTTAAGGCAGAGCTGGTTTGCTATTGCTGGTTCTTCTTCCCATTTTGCTTTTCAGATCAGTGATTTAGTTTCTCTTTACCCTCTCAGCCCAAATAAATATCATGTTTTGACTTTCTTGTGTCTTCTTATTTAAAGCAATTTGGACTATGATGGATGCAAATGCTCTCATCTTGCCCCAAAACAAATGCTATGGAGGAGCCAAGGATGCTTCCACCTCTGCTTCTCCAGGTGCAGGAATGGGCAGAGGGGACCTGTGGCCCTTGGCTGCATGGGGGACTCTGCTGCTGTGGCTCACCTGCTGGCTCCCAGTGGGGCCAGAGGGCAGAGCTTCAGCCACCCCAAGGGAGTATGTGCACAGAAAACCCCATTGGAGGGTTCTCCTGGGAACATATCCTTCCAACCACAAGAAAGAAGCAACCAGACACTAAAGAATGCAGCCCCAGAGAAATCCAAAGGGTCAGAACAGCAAAGTTCTTGGAGGAACCTGGCAAGTGAGAGGAAATCTTGGGAATGTAGGCCTTCGGGGGACCCTTGGACCTATGGATCCCACTGAAGGGAGCTCGAATCCACACACATACACATTATTAGTGTGAGTTCTTGGCCTGGCCTCTTAGTGGTGCCGGCCTCATGTCCCCACTCCAACTCTTGGCCTGTGGCTGATGGTTGACTGTGTAAGTTCCATGAAGGCTCAGATGGGTACCTGCATCCTCTATAGCATTCCTCCTCACCACATCTGGATCCTGCAAAGGGAAATAGATTATAGCATTCTCAGTGGGGCTTGGGTTTCAGACACCTTCCCACTGCATGTTTCTCGTACTCTTTCACCTATGTCCATGGACCAGAACATGATGGAGGCTCCCCCTTTCTTGAGGACTCTCAAAGAACATGACGTCTCGGTCTCTCTCACTTCTCCCGTTGAAATGGAGCCAGTATGGTGGAGTGTCTATTGGGCTCACTTTCTGTTGCTTCATTTATTCCTCAAAGCAACCTTGAGAAGCAGATATTTTTTTTCCATTTCACAGATGAGGAAACTAATATTTACAGGGATTAGGTAACTTGCCCCAAGTCACCTGGCTGGTAAGTGGTGGGCCTGGGACTGAACCCAGGTCTTTGTGGAGTTATACCTGATTGCCTTCCCCTGTCCCACTGCTCTTCTTCACTGACTAGCAGGCCTGGTTAAAGAATTAACAATGTGCCTGGCTGATGTGGCTCAGTGGTTGAGCGTTGACCCATGCACTAAGAGGTCACTGGTTCGATTCCCAGTCAGGGCACATTCCCAGGTTGTGGGCCAAATCTCCAGTGGGGGGCACACAGGAGGCGGCCAATTGAGGTTTTCTCTCATTGATGTTCCTATCACTCTCTCACTCTCTCTCTCAAATCAATAAAGAAAGAGAAAAAAAAAAGAATAAATAATGTACCCTGGCTGGTCTTGCTCAATGGTTAGAGTGATGGCCCTTGGACCAAAGGGTCTTGGGTTCCATTCCCAGTCAAGGGCACATACCTGGGTTGCAGGTTTGATCCCCGGCCCTGGTCAAGGTTGTTCGGGAGGCAACCAATCGATGTGTCTCTCTCACATCAATGTTTCTCTCTCTCTCCCTCCCATCTTCCTTTTCACTCTATCTAAAAATCAATGAAAAGGTATCCTTGAATGAGGATTAACAACAACAAAAAAGAATTAACAACGTAATGCTTGAGAAGCACTTGGCACCTGATCCATGTTAAGTGACCCTCTGTGAGCAAAATCAACACTCAATGGACCGGAACAAAAGCATGCACAATTGCCTTAAAGCAAAAGCTTTCAACCTGGACTGTACCTGAAATCACGGGAGAGCTTTTAAAACTCCACATACCCAGGCTGCACCTCGGACCAATAAAACCATAATCCCTGGGGGTGAGGCAGAGCATACATTTCTGCATTAGCAGTATAAATTTTCCACAGGTGATTCTAACATGTAACCAAGGTTGAGAAAACCCTGGGAAAGCAGTTTAGTTCCAAACTGGCCAGAGGTGGTTGACCAGAGAGTATAAGACACAGAAGGCACAGAAAAGGAGCCTAATGGAGCCTGCCCTGGCAGTGACAATCCGACCATGTCTAGAGCAGAGGGCCTGGCCCAAGGCCAGTATATGACCAGCCCTGGAGGCACATTAGCCATGCAGATGGAGGCACCAGGCTCTATCAAACCTGTCTCATGACCAACTGCTGATTCTAATTCACAGCTCCATGGTCATGGGAAGAAATGGGCAAATCAGTTATATCTCTTGTGTAAATGAACTAGCTGATGTTCTGATAATAATTGCTTTTGCTTGACAGTTACTGTAAATGAGGATAAATCTTCATTTGTTACTTTGGTAAATTTAGATCTTTCCTGAAAGACAATGTCCTTTAGTGAGCTGATGAATCTGGTTTCTGATTTAGGCCTCTGCCTTGAGCTGTGGTGAATGCACCAAGAGACCATCATGAGGTATCCTAGAGACAGCCAGACTCTCCTGATACAACCCACACCAGCCTGCCATAGACATCACGTCTACCTTCCTGAGCAGAGACCCACTGTAAGCAAATTCCCACTTTCATCCCTCCCCATCCTATAGTTCTTCCTTGGCCAACTGCCCCTTATAAATTTCCAGAGCTTCCTACTCTCCAGAGCACATGTGGTGGTTCACACCGGGTTTTCACGCCCTGCCATCTTGATGCCCTGAACTCTAGACTGTCATGACTCTGTGCCCTGTCCCCATCCACTCATGCCTCTACCCAGGTGCTCCCCTCCTTCTTTCCTCTGGTTTCTTCCTCTTTCCCCTTCCTCCCTCTTCATCAGGTGATGCCTTATTTATCTTCTAAAATCCAATTCAAATATCACCCCACTCCCCCTTCTCTGTTCCCCCTGCTCCCTTAGTACTTGAGTATATGTGCTGCCAAAGTGAGCACTCCCTTAGTACTTTAAAAAAAAAAAAAATGTTTTTTCCTTTATTGATTTTAGAGAGAGAGGAAGTGAGAGGGAGAGAGAAATAGAAACAACGATGAGAGAGAACATCAATTGGCCACCCCTGCATGCCCCCCCCTGGGGATTTGGCCCACAACCTGGGCATGTGCCCTGACTTGGAATCGAACTGGCGACCTCTTGGTGCATGGGTTGATGCTCAAACACTGAGCCACACTGGCCACACTCCCTTAGTACTTTATTATTATTATTTTTTATCCTCACCCAAGGACATTTTAAAATATTTTTTGTTCAGATAGAGTGGGAGGGAGGGAGGAAGGGGGAGAGAGAGAGAGAGAAAAACATCGACGTGAAAGGGACACATCGAGTGGCTGCCACCCACACGACCCAACCAGGGCCGGGGACAAACTGCAACCGAGGTATGTGCCCTTAGCGGGAACCGAACCCGGGTCTCTCCAGACCGCAGGCCAACGCGCTAACCGCTGAGCCACACCAGCCAGGGCTCCCTTAGTACTTTAAATGAAACTCTACAATGGAGGTTCACACACACTTGAATTCATTGTCCACACCTCCCCTTGTTCCCCATCATAGAACCTGAGCTCCCTGAGGCAAGAACCATGTCCTGTTGGCCTTGGTGGACTGATACCCAGCATGGTGTCATGCCTATTATGAGTATTTAAATATATTTTTGTTGAAATCTGAGAAAACAGTAACAGTTGTTATAGTCAAGTAAGTCTTTGCCTTGTTAAAAGCCATTTCATATCCAGTGTCTCCTTTGACTACCTCAGAAAAGAAGATTGAAGAGCCCTGGCCAGGTGGCTCTGTTGATTGGAGCATTGTCCCATCCTCCCAAAGGTTGTGGGTTTGATCCCTGGTCGGGGCACATATGGGAGGCAACAGCTGATGTTTCTCAACAATGTTTCTCTCTCTCTCTAAAAATCAATAAACATATCCTCAGGTGACGATAAAAGAAAAAAAAAAAAAAGATTGAAGAAAGTCCAAAGATCCTAAGTGAAAAATCACCCTGGCTGCACAGGTTAAGCCAGTACACTGGGCCAAAGGGCAATGCTGACATGCTGAGCCCAAGTGATTCCTCTCCAAATGAAGCCTGCGCCGCTGGAACGAGCAACCCAGAAAGGCTATAGGAAGGAGAAGATGGGACAGACAGATAGCAGGTCTCTAAATTAGTTCCCATGCTTGGCTTTCCCTGAAACAGGCAGGAGGGGCCCAGAGCCTGGGGCAGACCCAAGAAGACAAGGTGTGGGAGGGTTAGAAGCATAGGCTGGGCATTGGAGCCCAAAATGCTATAGAATTTGGCGTGTATGTGAGGAAGGGTGTTTCTGAGGCAGTAAATCAATGAATTGATGTCTTTCTTGTTCTGTAATGTGATATAGTGGTTTATAGTGTGGCTTCTGGAACCAGATTCTGGGTTTTGGGCCTGGCAAGTATGACCTTGGGCAACTTATTTATCTTCTCTGGGCCTCATTTTCATTGTCTGTGAAATGGGGACAGTATAAAATCTACATCAGAATTTTTATGAGACTTAAATGAGTTAATCTATGTAATTTTCCAAGACTAGCTCTTGACAGATAGTAAGTGCTCAATGAATGCTAGCTATTATTTAATATTTTATTAACCAGCATCTACTGGGTGTTTCAATTACTGCATAACAACCCCCCTGAATAAGTAGTGGCTTAAAACATGAAACCACTTTGTTTGCTCATTATTCGGTCGGTCGGCCCTCTGAGCTGGGCTCAGCTGGGCAGTTCTGCTGGAGTCACCTGCAATTGCTCTTGGCTGCAGATCTCTGGCAGAGAGACTAGGGCTGGACGGTCTACGATGAACTCACTTACATGTCTAGCAGCTGGGGCTGGCTGTCAGAGAGGCTACATGTCACGACAAGGTGTCTCCAGCAGGCCAGCCTGGACTTCTCCTCTTTGTGGAGGATTCCAACAGTAGCCCAAAGAGGACAAGCCCTAATGAGTGAATGCTTTTCAAGCCTTGGCTTGTATCACATCTGATAATGTCCCAAGCCCAGATTCAAAGGATAGAAATAAAAATGTCTCTGCTTGATGGGAAGAGAGGCAAAGTCACAGTGTAAAGGGGCGTGCGTCAGCAATGGAAGGAACCATCACAATATCGAAACAATCTACCATACTGGCACCAAATATGCAAGTAGAGCTCAGTTCTAGAGGTTGGAAGCGGTACTTTCTTGGCTCTCGGGGCTCAGGATAACAGAAAAAGAGTTAAGGCATATGCAAAACAACTGTAATGCAAGGTTTCAACATGCTAAGTGCCCTAAGATAAGAATGATTAAGTGCTAGGGGAATTCAGGACAGAGTGATCCTCTACAGCTGACAATGGGAAAGCCAGTGGTTGGGAAAGCTTTATTAACTTAGCCTTGAAGTATGTTTAGAATCTTGATATGTGGAGATGAGAAAAATGATATTCCAGGTGAAAGAAAGAGCAAGGCTAGGCAAACCAAGGCATGTTTGGGAAATCCAAGCCCACTGATGTATCTGGAATGAGGGTCCAGGAAGGGGAGCTGCAAGATATAAGGTTAGAACAATAACCCGGGATTTGATTGTGGGCAAGTTTGAGTTTGATCTTCATTCTGTAGGCAATATCCACTGGACATTCTTCAGGTATTAAGTGGGGGGAGGGGGGGGGACTGTATTGTAAGAGGCTCCTTTGTCAGTAGTCTATAGGATGTCTTGGGTTGCGGAGTGAGAAGAGGAGTAGGAGATAATTAGGTAATGAGGGCACTAGCAGGTCAAGACAGAGGGATTGACAAAGGGTGGTAA